AAAGGGGGGATTGGGAAAGGGGGGGTTACGAAATTTGCTGCATGCAGCTGGTTTCGGCCTCACCGAGGGGCCCATTCCTCGATACATAGCCGCCTCCGGCGCCGGGAGGCGCCGGGAAAATCAGCTACGTGAGCTGATTCTCACCCCCCCCCTTTGCTATCCCCCCCTTTCGCCCGACCCCGTTTACTTTTGGCGGAAGTCTTGGGTGGTTCTCAGGGGTGGTCTCACCTCGGGATGTTTTTTTTTTGAGCAGCCGTGCCTCGCCGAGAGCGATGCAGGGGTGCCCGGATCGCCCCGAACGGCTGCCGGGGTCCCGAGTCAGGGTCCGAAGACAACCCGGCGTCGGAAAGAGGGGGAATGACATTTTTCGGGGCTGGACAGAACCCCCAACAGTGACACGTCGATTAGTGAATCGTCCGTTTTCGGTTCTCGAGAGGGCGCCGTGGCCGTTATTTTCCAGGCTTGCGCCCGCCAGGTTTGGGCCTCAGGTCGTTTTCACTAAACCACGTTTTACTAAAGGGGGTTCTGTCCATCCCCGAATTTTGACATTTTCTATAAATCATTAACTAGTAAGTTAGATATGATAGTACAGTATGGTATAATTAGATACCGCCACCCCAGCCCCGCGTCCCGCACCTCCCCGTCACATCTCGGGGACGCTCCCGGTACTGCTCCCCCGGCCTTTCCGGGGAGCCTCTACAGCGCTCCAGAAGGGCCTAAGACGTCTCCCAGGAGCCCCCAGAATGCGAAAGGATGGCCCAAGACGCTCCCAAGCAGCCCAAGTCAGCCTTCTGACTGCTCTCGAGGTTCCTAGGTGGCCTCCAAGAGACCCCACGAGAGGTCCGAGAGGCGTCCCGGGACGGCCCGAAGAGGACAACATCGTTTTGAAGCATTTTTGGTTTCTCGCGTTTTCGAGCTTCCAACGGTCCAAGAGCGCCGAAGAGGCTCCCAAGACCGCCCCAAGGCCACCCAAGAGACCCTCAGGACGGCCCCAGGACGGGCCAAGAAGGCTCCAAGACTGCCGAAGAGGCGAGGCGCCGAGGCGCCCAGGACAGCCCCAGACCACCCCAGAACAGGCCCAAGATGGGCCCAAGAGCGGGAGCAGGAGGCTTCCAGAGACCTCCGAGAGGCCTCCGGGACCACCGAAGGGCCCCCAACACACCCCCGATCCCTGAGAGGCCCCAAAAAGACCCCGACGAGGCTCCAAGAACAGTCCAAGAGAGCTGCGAGAGCCGTCCCGAGAGAGCCCCAAAGGGTAAAATCGTTGATTTCCAATGGTTTTTCCAATGTTTTTCGCCTTCTCACGTTTTCCCGCTTCCAACCCTCAAAGATCGAGGATCTTGAAAAGGAAATTCCAAGAATTCCCTTTTTTTCCAAAGCGGACCTCCATCTCGGGGGTCCTACACATACCCTGACATTCGGCCGGTACCGCGCCTTCCAGCTTCCCGGGGGGCCCCCAAGACGCCCAAGGACAGCCCAAGACGACCCCAAGGAGCCCCCAGAACGTAAAGAACGGCCCAACACGCTCCCGCGCAGCCTGAGACACTCTCCCGACGGTTCTCCAGGCCTCCAGGAGGTCTCCAGAACCCTCAGAGGGTCCAGAAGATCCCACACCCCTGAGGGGCCCGGCAAGCAAAACCCGCGAGGCACAAACGAAAAGCAGCACCGAACAGCTCCAAGGAACTGGAAAAACGTGGGCATCCAATCTTTTTTGTGCTCCAAGTTTGGCTGCTCTGCGACCCCCCCCCCTCTTGGACGCCCCCCTTCTTGGACGCCCCCCTCTTGGACGCCCCCGTCTTGCCCCCCCCCCCCCCTCTTGCACCCCCCCCCTTGCTGGGTAGTCGAAGGCCAGACTGTCAGATTGGATTGGGCCCCAAGGGCCAATCTGGCTTGGCCATATTGGAGGATTGGGGTTGTTCGCCAGACTGGATTCGCGTTGGCTCCCTCGCCAGATTGCCCCCGTCTGCCAGATTGGGCCTGCCAGATTGGCGCCAGATTGGCTTCGACTACCCAGTGATGCTGATGATGATGGTGGTGGTGCTGCTGCTGATGATGGTACTGATGATGCTGCTGCTGATGATGCTGATGCTGATGACGGTGATGATGAGGATGAGGATGACGACGATGATGCTGGTGCTGACGATGCTGGAAATGCTGACGACCACGATGACGACCCCGTCTTGCCCCCCCCTCTTGCATCCCCCCCTTGGACGCCCCCGCCTGGGCGGAGGAGGAGCGCCTCTGGGTCGAGAAGGGGGGGGGTGCGGGGCGTGCGGCGCCCGGGGGCCCTGCCGCCTCGAGCCCCCCCCCCGCCAACACCCCGGCGGAGAGGGTGATCTCGACGGCGGCAGGGCTGTGATCGGAGCGCGAGGATGGGCGACGGCGATGCTGAGCCGCCTCGAGGAGGCTCAGGCGGAGGAGCCATTGCAGGAGGAGCTTCAGCAGGAGGAGGAGGAGGAGGAGGAGGAGGTAGGAGGACGGAGGAGGAGGAGGAGGAGGAAGGAGGAGGAGGAGGAAGGAGGAGGAGGAGGAGGAGGAGTGAGCCCCGAGGAGGAGGAAGAGGGGGAGGAGGAGGAGGAGGAGGAGGAGGAGTGAGGAGGAGGAGGACTGGAGGAGGAGGGAAGGAGGAGGAGGAGGAGGAGGAGGAGAGAGGAGGAGGAGAGGAGGAGGAGGAGGAGGAGGAGGAGTGAGGAGGAGGAGGAGGAGGAGGAGGAGGAGGAGGAGGAGGTGTAGGAGGAGGAGGAGGAGGAGGAGGAGGAGGAGAGGGAGGGAGGAGGAGGAGGAGTGGAGGAGGAGGAGAGGAGGACGGAGGATGGAGGTAGGAGGAGGAGGAGGTAGGAGGAGGAGGAGGAGCGAGGAGGAGGAGGTAGGAGGAGGAGGAGGAGGAGGAAGGAGGAGGAGGAGGAGGAGGAGGAGGAGGAGGAGGGGAGGAGAGGAAGGAGGGGAGGAGGAGGAGGGAGGAGGAGAGGGAGGAGGAGGAGGAGGAGGAGGAGGAGGAGGAGGAAGGAGGAGGAGGAGGAGGAGGAGGCAGGAGCGAGGAGGAGGAGGAGGAGGAGGGGAGGAGGAGGAGGGAGGAGGAGGAGGAGGAGCGAGGAGGAGGAGGAGGAGGAGGAGGAGGAGGGGGAGCGAGGGAGGCAGGAGGAGGAGGAGGAGGAGGAGGAAAGGAGTGAGGAGGAGGAGGAGGAGGAGGAGGAGGAGGAGGAGGAGGAGGAGGAGGAGGAGAGAGGAGGAGGAGGAGGAGGAGGAGGAGGAGGAGGAGGAGGATGAGGAGGAGGAGGCTCCTGCGGAGGAGCAGGAGGAGGAGGCGGAGGAGGAGGATGAATATCAGGAGGAGGGGGAGGAGGAGCAGGAATATAGACTCACGACAACGATGATTCGGGTGTGCTCCCTGCACTCCTTTTGCAATGCTCTGAACAACATATATTTTGTTGTGCGGATGAGTGAATCAATCCGTGTGCGGCTATCGCATGCGCTCATCGCCTTCTGGCCACTTTGGCTGGTGCTTTAGCGAACACGTGGGAATGCCCACGTTTGCGGGCATTTCGTAGCTGCTGTACGTCCTGCTCTTCTACCGCATGCAAACTTTGGTCTGGCACGTGGGCTGGCAATTCACGCATGAACGCACCTCGGCATGTCAACGGGCGCGTCTTGCTCTGGACACTGGCTTCGCTCATTTTTTTCTGAGCCGGGCTCTGCAGAGTAAGTCAGTGCCACAGACACGACATGGCCTGATCTCTGACATGCGCGCAGACTTCCACCCTGTGGCCAGTCGTTGCGGAGTGCAAAAATACTTGGAACGCGTCGCGGTTCTCACCGGTGCTGGTCGATCGTTGCCGAGGGAGCTTTTTTTGTGATTCCGGTGCATTTCGACCAAAAGTTGCCATCTTCCCGCGTCCTTCCTCCCTCCATCCTCCCTCCGTCCATTCGTCATTCCTCCTGTCCCTAGTGTTAGGTCGGGCCTGTCCCCCTACAGGGGGATTTTCGACGAAAAATATAAATTCCCCCAAAATACACCAAGAAGGTAAAAAAATATTCAAAAAAATAGTCCCCATACTATTTTTGGACTATTTTTTGATTAGGAGTATTTATTATTTTTCGTAGAAAATCCCCCTGTAGGGGGACAGGCCCGAAATAACCGTAGTGCTTCACCCTCCCGCCGCCCTCTCCCTGCCTCCCCCTTTCCTCTCCCTCCCGACCCTCCCTGCCCCCTTCCTTCCTCCCCCCTCCCTCTTCCTTTCCGCGCGTCCTCCCATCCTTCTATCATTCCTCTGGTCTCCTTCCCTTCCCCCTCCTCCTCCGCCTCCTCCTCCTCCTCCTCCTCCCTCTCCAGCCTCACCTCCTTCTCCCATCCTCCTTCCCTGATGTCATCCTTCTGCCCTTCCTCACTATGCCTTCTCACTCCTCCTTCTCTCTCTCTCTCTCGCTCTCTCTCTCTCTCTCTTCCGCTGACTCTTCTCGTTCCCTCCTCCCTGCCCCCCGCTCCCGCCGCCCCGCTCTCCGCTCCCGCCGCCCTCCTTCCTGCTTTCTGCCGCCGCTCTCTCCGTCCGCCGCGCTTCCGCTGCTCCTCCCTCCTCGGACGATGCCGCGCGCCGCCAGGGTCTTCGAGCTCAGCGACCGAAAGGTCCCAGCTCTTCGTGGCCTGGGCTCAGGATGCATTGGGCACGGGCGGGAAGGACGATGCGAAAAGGGGAAGGACAGGGATGTCGATGATGCTGATGATGCTGCTGCTGCTGCTGCTGCTGCTGCTGATGATTGGTGATGATGATGGTGATGATGATGATGATTTTTGTTGATGTTGATGCTGATGCTGAAGTTGTCGTTGCCATGATGAGGATGAACATTGTGAGGATGACGGTGCTAATGATGCTGCTTATGATGCTGATGATGGTAACGCTGATGATGCCGGTTGCTGCTGCTGATGATGATGATGGTGGTGACGATGGCGATGATGATGGTGATGCTGATGATGATGGCGATGATGATGATGCTGCTGATGATGATGATGCTGTTGATGATGATGCTGATGATGGGGATGATGATGATGCTGCTGATGATGATGCTGATGCTGATGATGATGATGATGATGATGATGGTGGTGTTGTTGGTGGTGGTTGTGGTGGTGGTGGTGATGGTGGTGGTGGTGGTGATGATGGTGGTGGTGGTGGTTATGGGGACGGTGGTGATGATGAGGAGGATAATGACGATGCTGTTGCTGATGCTGAGGTCGCTGCTGCTGCTGATGATGCTGATGATGATGGTGATGATGATGGATGATGGCGCTGCTGCTGATGCTACTGATGCCACTGATGATGATGCTGATGATGATGACGACGCTGGTGACTCTGATGATGATCACGACTGTGATGGAGAGGGTAATGGCGATGCCGACAGCGGTAGTCGTGGTGATACTGAATTGGATAGTGCTGCTGCAGCTGCTGATGATGATGGTGATAGTGATGACGATGCTGCTGCTGATGATGATGACGATGCTGAACACGATGATGATGATGATGCTGAGGATGATGATAATGATGCTGATGCTGATGCTGATGCTGATGCTGATGCTGATGCTGATGATGCTGCTGCTGATGATGATGAGGATGATGCTGATGACGATGATGATGATGATGATGATGATGATGATGATGATGATGATGATGATGATGACGATGCTGATGATGATGATGATGATGATGATGATGATGATGATGATGCTGATGATGATGATGCCTGTGACGATGATGGTGATGAGGTTGCTGCTGCTGCTGATACTGAGGATGCTTCGATGATTATGGGGCTGGTGATGCTCCTGAAGCTGATGCTGACGACGCATGATGACGATGGTGACGATGATGACGATGATACTCTTGCTAGTGCTGACGACGATGATGATGGTGATGACGCACCCTCGACACTCAGGAATCACGCTCTCGCTGTGGGCTTCTCACGGTTTATTTGAGATTCGCGCTATCGCTCGAGACTCCCTTGCGATTCATGCAGGGCGCGCGCTTCAGCAACCCGCCTGCTCGACCTGGCCGCCTGGGCTCGCCTTCCCGACCCGCCTGTTAGGGTTTACCCGCCTGATCTGCCCGTCTGGTTCTGCCACGTGTTTTCTGCTCCTAGCCCCCCTGCTGCTACTCTATCTCGTGCTCCATTCTCCTCGCTCCCCCTTGTCCTTTCCTTCCATCCGTCCTCCCTTCCCCTGCCTCAGGGGCTGCACGAAATACACGTAGCAGGTAAGACAAACATACCCTTATGAGGGATTTGGGATGTACGTGTTGGGTTGCACACGAGCAGATAAGAGCGACCAGTCTTAAACTCATTGTTGTTGTTGTTGCTGTTGTTGTTGTTGCTGTTGTTGTTGATGCTGTTGTTGTTGTAGTTCTTGATGTTGTTGATGTTGTGGTTGCTGCTGCTGTTGTTGTTGTTGTTGTTGTTGTTGTTGTTGTTGTTGTTATTGTTGTTGTTGTTATTGTTGTTGAGCTCTCACTACTATAGATTTATGGTTGATCACCCCTGCCCGCTAACCACTGTATAATACAATTAAAGTGCTTCTTCCGGGGCTCTCACCCTGTTCTCACAAGGGAGAGCAAGGTGCCACCAAGCTGTGCCCCTTGGCGGCCCCCAGTTTACAACAACAACGGCTCCCGCCTGATACTTCCTCACCATGGATTCCCAAGTCTTGCTCTCGTGCGGGACTTCCCCACAATTTAGATAGGAATCGCGCTATCTTGTGGGACCTCCTCGCAATTCATTCAGACGCCGCGCCCGCGACACTCAGGAATCACTCTCGCGGTGGATTTCCTCACGATTTATCGGGGAATCGCGCTATCGCTGGAGACTTCCTCGCGATTCATTCAGGATGCACGCTTCAACAACCCGTCTGTCCCTTGTTCCTTCCTTCCATCCGTCATCTCTTCCCCTGCCTTAGGGGCTGCAGGAAACACACGTAACAGGTAAGAAAGGTATGCCCCCAAGAGGGTACGATCGAAGACGAAGAGGGCGGGTATCGAGGGTTTGGGATATATGTGTTGAGTGGCACGCGAGCAGATAAGAGCGAACAGTCTTCAAATGATTGTTGTTGTTGTGGTGGTGGTGGTGGTTGTTGTAGAGTTTTCTTTTCGCAGGAATGATCATCGTTGATCCTCCCCCCCTCCAGTACACCTTGTGTTTTTTAACTAAATGCTCCTCCGGGGGTTCGCACTGTTTTTACAAGGTTCTGTTTCTCAACTTGGACCCCTGGCCCCCGAACTGCAACAACAACGGCTCGAGCTTAATGCTTCCGCACAATTTATTTCAAATTCGCGCTCTGGCGGGGAACTTCCTTACAATTTATGCAGGGATCGCGCTCTCGCTTCGGATTTCTTCGCAAATTATTGAGACGTCGCGCCCTCGACGCTCAGGAATCGCCCTTTCGCTCTGGCCTTCCTCACGATTTATTGGGGCCGCCCGATTCGCCCGTCTGGTTCTGCCACGTGTTTTCTGCTCCTAGCCCCCCTCCTGTTAATCTCTCTGGTGCTCCATCCTTCTCCCTCCTGCTTCTATCCGTCATCTGATTCCTTGTTTCAGGGGCTGCACTAAGTACACGTGGCATGCAGGGACGATATAATACCCCCAAGGGGGTACGATCGAAGACGCAGAGGGCGGGTACCGAGGCTTCGGGATATACGTGTTGAGTGGCACGCGAGCAGGTCGGAGCGAACAGTCTTACCATGCGAATCGTTGCTGCTGCTGTTGTTGTGGTTGTTGTTGCTGTTGTTGTTGTGGTTGTGGTTGTGGCTGTGGTTGTTGTGATTGCTGTTGATGAGGTTGTTGTTGTTGCTGTTTATGGTGATGTTGTGGTTGTTGATGCTTGGTTTGTTGTTGATGATGGTGAGGATGAGGATTCTGATGAGGATGCGGATGGTGATGCTGATGCTGCTGCTGATGATGATCGTGGTGATGCTAATGGTGATCATGCTGATGATGATGATGATGATGGTGGTGATGACGATGATGGTGAGGTTGATGGGAATGGCGATCGGGATGATCATGATGATGTTGATGATGATGATGATGATGATGCTGATTGTTGTTCTTGTTTTTGTTGTTGTTGCTGCTACTGTTGTGGTTGCTGTTGTTGTTGTTGTTGTTGTTGTTGTTGTTGTTGTTGTAACTGCAATTGTTGTTGTTGTCGTCGTTCTTGGTTTTGTTAGTGTTGTTGTTGCTGCTGTTGTTGTTGATGATGATGGTCGTTGCTGTTGATGGCGGTTGTGCTGATGCTGCTTCTGCTGATGATGATGATGATGACAATGACAATGATGATGATGATGATGATGATGATGATGATGATGATGATGATGATGAGGAGGATGATGATGATTACTACTATGCAACTGATGGTGATGATGCTGTTGATGCTGCTGATGATGAGGATGATGCTGGTGGTGATATTCATGATGATGTTGCTGCTGCTGGTGATGATGATGATGATGATGATGATGATGATGATGATGATGATGAGGAGGAGGAGGAGGAGGAGGAGGAGGAGGAGGAGGAGGAGGCGGAGGATGAGGATGAGTCTGAGGCGGAGGTGGATACTGTGTGGGTAGCGCTTGTACCTTTTGGGCAGGTGCCTCGAACTGCGGGAGTGCGAGGGCACCAAGGCAAAGCGCGCAGGGACCGCAAGAAGGGGAGGGGTGAAGGAGGCCAGGGATGATGGGGAGGGATGGCGAAGCGTGCTGACCGGGGAAAAGTAACATAACAAAGAGGAAGGCGTGCAGGGCTGGGGAGGAGGTGGAGCAGGATCAGGAAGGGATAAGAGGAGGAGGAGGTGGAGGAGGTGGAGGGGGGAGAGGGGTGAAGGAGGAGGGGGAGGAGGGAGGAGGGCATCTTCCCGGCAGGTCCTGGAGTGGGCCTCGAACAGCGGCCTCCACAGGCGGGGGAACAACGCCTCCAACGACAAGCGCGGCGCAGAGCGATATCGGCGGCTGGCAAGGGAGGGGGAAGGAGGCCAGGGATGATACAGAGGGAGGGACGTATAAGCATGAGAAACAGGGAGGTATGCAGGGACTGGGGAGGAGATGGAGGAGGATGAGTGGATGAGGGGGAGGAGAATGAATAAGAGGAAGAAGAAAGAAGAAGAGGAGCTAGGAGGAGGAGGAGCGAGGAGGAGGAGGAGGAGGAGGGGAGGAGGAGGAGGAGGGAGGGGGAGCAGGAGGAGGAGGAGCGAGGAGCGAGGAGCGAGGAGCGAGGAGCCAGGAGCGAGGAGCGAGGAGCGAGGAGGAGGAGGAGGAGGAGGAGGAGGAGGAGGAGGTGGGGGAGGAGGTGGAGGAGGAGGAGGAGCGATGAGCGAGCACGAGTAGGGAGGAGCGAGGAACGACGAGGGGGAGAGAGGAGGGAGGATGGGGATGAGGAGGGTTTGGTTGGCTCTGCGTGGGGAGGGTCGTGGAACCTCGGGGGTTCTAGGCGTGCCCTGCAGTGCCCCAGGGGTCCACAGCGGGGGAAGGCCGAGGAGCAGGGATGGAGGGATCGAGGATCGCGGTCTGTGGCATTGTCTCCAGCTATCTTTGTCCCCCTGGGATGGTCTCCTCTGCACCGCGGCTGGACATGCTTTGAAATCCTGGTCAGAGCGCGCCCCAGGAGATCTCCGGCTGCCCGATTCGGAGGCTGCGGACCCGTGCCTCCAGTCCCCGCGGAGAAACCTCGACGTTGCCTTCGTGTTGGCTTGCTCACCTCTTCTCAGGAGGGGAAAAAACACACAGGCACAATTAATCGTCGATTCCCCTAGAAAATATGGGAAACTATGGGAAGTGGGGGGGAAGACAAAAACCCAGAAAATCTGGGAAAGTGTGGGGAACCCGGTTATTTGTGTGTGTATTTATTTGTGCGTCCAAGGGCTCCTTCATCTCCCTCGTGCCAGAGAGACCACTCTTCCAGCATGCGGCAGTCTCGTGCTCAGGCCTGGCATGCAGTTCGGCGTCCCCATGATGGACCGGCCGTCCGCTGGCCGCCTCTTTGCCGGGCCGACCGTCGTGCGCCTCTCTCGTGGCCCTGGAGCAGCTGGCGCGTACGCCAAAGAGGTGATGCTGAGAATGCTGCTGCTGATGATGATGCTGATGGTGATGATGGTGATGATGTTGATGAAGATGATGATGACTGACGGCGACGACGATGATGATGGATGAGGGTGATGACCCGTGACGACGATGATGCTGATGATGATGAAGATGATGATGCCGATGCTGATGCTGATGCTGATGCTGCTGATGATGATGATGATGATGATGATGATGATGGCGATGACGCGGCTGAGGATTGTGATGATCAGGATGAAGATGATGATAACAAGGAGGAGGACGACGATAATGATGATGACGATGATAATGAGGACGACGACCACCACGACCACGACCACGATCATGATCACGACCACTACCACACGACGATGATGGCGATGATGACGATGACGATCACGATGACGATGATGATGATGCTGCTGATATCTGATGACGATTATGATGATGGCGTCGGTGATGATGACGATGATGATGATGATATTGGTGATTATGATGATGCTCTTGGTGGTGGTAGTGGCCGTGATGATGATGACGATGATGATAATGAGGATGATAGCGTTGACAAGGCTTATGATGGTGATTATGGCGATTGTGATGGTTGGTTGTTGTGGTGGTGATGCGCCGATGAAGAGGACGACGACGACGGCGATGATGACGACGATGACGACGATGACGGTCAGGATGACGACGACGACGACGTCGACGACGATGACGACGAAGACAACGACGACGGCGACGACGATGATGACGACGACGACGATGACGATGATGATGATGATGATGATGATGATGATGATGATGATGATGATGATGATGATGATGAGCTGCTGCTGCTGATCATGGTAATGATGAAGATGAATATTAGGATTCAAATACGCTGATGATGATGCTGATAGTGCTGCTGCTGATGATGATTACGAGGTTGATGATGGCGCGGTTGTTGTTGCTGCCGTTGTTGGGGTTGTTGTTGTTGTTGTTGTTGTTGTTGTTGTTGTTATTGTTGTTGTTATTGTTGTTATTGTTGTTGTTGTTATTGCTATTATTATTGTTTTGGTTGTTGTGTTTGTTATTGTTGTTGTTGTTGTTGTTGTTGTTGTTGTTCATGTTGTTGTTGTTGTTGTTGTTGCTGTTGTTGAACTCTCACTACTGAAGAACATGTTGTTGTTGACCCCCCTCCGGTTACCATTGTGTTGTTTCAATTGAAGTGCTTGCCCCGGGGCTCGCACCTGGTTTTTTATCAGGGAAAAACGCTAGGCTCGAATTGTGCCCCTGTCCCTACAACAACAACGGCTCTCGCCTGATAGTTTCTCACAGTTTATTCAATCGCTGGCACTTGCTTGCGTGCTTGGGGGCGAAATATCCGTGCGGGTCTCCCGTCTGAACCTTCTCTTGGAGCCGTCTTGGGGGCCTCTTGGGTTGTCTTGGAGGCCTCTCGGGTCGTCTTGGGGCCCTCTGGGGCGGTTTTTGGGCCCTCTTGGGGGCCTCTTGGGCCGTCTTGCGGCGATCTTGGGGGCATTTTGGGCCGCTTTTGACGTTGTGAAAGTTCAAGTGGCGAACCTGCTAGAAATATACGCTTTGCTTACGGAATGGAGCGATTTTTGCCTCTTGGGGCCCTCTTGGGACGCCTCGTGGGGGCCTGTTGGGGCGTCTGGGAGCCATCTTGGGCGTCTTGAAGCGAGCGTGTGGCATCTCGGAGCGGGGGCTCTTGGCGGCCTGGCGGCCCTTCTTGGGGCTCTCTGGAGGGCCTCGAGGGCGGCGCCCAGGAGGAAAACCATCTCTGAGTCGGACCGCCCGGGACCTGCCCGGGACCTTGCCGGGGTACTTTTCGTCCGGGGACCCCCAGGGGCCGCCCCGCGCGCGCGAACTAGAGATATTGTTAACCAGTTGCCGGAGATCTTAGCACGCCTCTGGCCCCGCCTGATTCGTCCTCACAATTTATTCCTGAATCGCGCTCTCGCGCGCGGGAATTCACAATTTATGTACGCATCGCGCTCGCGTGGGACTTCTCGCAATTTATTCAAATGATGCGCCCTCGGCGCTCAGGAATCACGCTCTCGCTTCGGCTTTTCTCACGATTTACTTGGGAATCGCTCTATCGCTCGAGACTTCCTCGCGATACATGCAGGACCCACGCTCCAGCAACCCGCCTGCTCGACCTGGTCGCCTGGGGCCGCCTTCCCGACCTCCCCGCTATGGGTCTGCCCACCCGATCTGCCCGTCTGGTTCTACCATTTGTTTTCTGCTCCTTGCCCCCCTCCTGCTAATTTCTCTCGTGCTCCATTCTTCTCCCTCCCCGTTCCACCCGCCCTCTCTTCCCTTCTTTTAGGGGCTACACTAATGCACGTGGCAGGTGAGGAAGATATACCCCCAAGGGGTTACGATCGAAGACGACGAGGGCGGGTACCAAGGGTTTGGGATATACGTATTGATTTGCACGTGAGCAGATATGCACGAACAGTCTTACTATGATTATTGTTGTTGTTGTTGTTGTTGTTGTTGTTGTTGTTGTTGTTGTTGTTGTTGCTGTTGCTGTTGCTGTTGCTGTTGCTGTTGCTGTTGCTGTTAGTAAGGGCGGGGTGCCCCGACCCGTGTCCCACAACCCCCCCCCCCCACAACACTCACAACAACCGGAATTCCGGAGGATTCCTAGGAATTCCTAAGGATTCCTAGGGATTCCTAAGGATTCCTAGGGATTCCAAAGGATTCCTAGGAATTCCCAGAAATTCCGAAGGATTCCTAGGAATCCCGAAGGATTCCTAAGGATTCCTAGGAATTCTTAGAAATTCCGAAGCATTCCTAGGAATTCCTGAGGAATCCTAGGAATTCCTAAGGATTCCCAGGAATGCCCAAGGATTCCTAGGAATTCGAAAGGATTCCGAGGAATGCCTAAGGATTCCTAGGAATTTGAAAGGATTCCTAGGAATGCCTAAGGATTCCTAGGAATTCGACAGGATTCCGGGGAATGCCTAAGGATTTCTCGGAATTTGAACAGATTCCGAGGACTGCCTAAGGATTCCTAAGAATTCCGATTGATTCCCAGGAATTCCTAAGGATTCTTAGGAATTCCTTGGGATTCCTAGGAATTCTTCGCTTCGCCGGTGCACACATGCTTTTTGCCGGCAGGGATTCGTTGGTGCCAGAGAGGAGGCCCGCAGATGTTCACACACATGGAGTTCAATGGCGTTGTTGTGGTGTTGTGGGGGGGGGTCGTTGTTGTGGTTGTTGCCGGGGGGGGGTCCCCACGGGTCGGCGCTGGCCGCCCTTGCTTTGTTGTTGTTGTTGTTGTTGTTGTTGTTGAACATTATTTATTCTAAAGAATAATTATTGTTGGGCCCCCTGGTGCGCGCCCCCCCTGCGCCGCCTAGGCCGCAGCTACATTTTCATCATTTTCGTGAGGAAGCCTCAGAAAAGAGGGTGTGTACAGGATCCGGTTGTTTTGTTGTAATCCGCTTTCCCTTGCAAAAAACAATAGAAAATGACATTTCTTGTTCTAATATAATCAAATTTCAAGAATCCCTTGCAAAAAATAAGGTAAAGTGGACATTCGCGCGCGCAAGACGAAATCCTTCCAAAACCTTAGTGTTCGTAGCGATTTTAACATAAAAACATCAAAAAACCAATGGTTTTTCAAAAAAAAATGTCAAAATTTCATCCCGCGCGCTCTTGCGGATTTGTAGGAAACCCAACACTTTTTAAACATTTCTGTCAAACGGGCTTTTGCGAGCAACTTTTTCGAACTTCTGCAACAACGGTTGCGCACCTGCCAGGGCCATCATCCCTGTCAAATAATACCATGCGGGACACATTCGTTTTTTCTTCGCGCGCGCACGCCGTCGTCGTCGGCCGCGGGGCCCTGAATAGTAGCCACGGTCGTCCGCATGCCACGAAGTGAAGTGTCCGAACGTCATAGGGCGGGAAGCTGGGTGTGGGTGGTGGCGAAGAGTCGTTTGGAAATTTGGTAGAGCTTGAACCGGCCCCCCCACAAAGTGGGGGTATTGCCCGCCTCCTATGAAAACCCTGGCACTGGTGAGAACGGTGTGTCCCCACGTGCTAGTAAGTAATTGTTGTTGTTGTTGTTGTTGTTGTTGTTGTTGTTGTTGTTGTTGTTGTTGTTGTTGTCGTTGTCGTCGTCGTCGTCGTCGTCGTCGTCGTCGTTGTTGTTGTTGTTGTTGTTGTTGTTGTTTTCGTTGTTTTGTTTCGTTGTCGTTGTTGTGGTAGTGGTGATGGTGGTAGTGGCTGTTGCTGTTGTTGCTGCTATTGTTGGTGTTGTTGTTCTTGTTGTTGTTCTTGTTGTTGTTGTGGTTGTGGTTGTGGCTGTTGTTGTTTGTGATGATGAGACCGTTCTCCTAGGGCCCCGTTGCGTTGCGACCTGGGGGGGGGCAAAACGCAACCGCGCAACGCTCCAGCGCGAACGTGGTTGAGTTGCGACCTTCCCCCCGGCGAGTTGCGCCCTCCCCGTGCGCGAGTTGTGCCCTCCCCCCCTCTTTTGCACGTCTCGTGTGCCTTTTGAGGGGCGCCCCGCAGGGTTCTGCGGCAGTCCGTATCGGATTTGTTTCGGACCCCGTACAGGCCGTATGGGATCTGTATCGGATCCCATACATGCTGTGTGGGCTCTGTATCGGGCCCCGTACAGGTCGCACGGAACTTGTATCGGGTCCCACACAGGCCGTATGGGGTCTGTACCAGACCCGGGTCGGATTTGGATCGTATCCCATACAGGCCGTAAGTGATTTATATCTGATCTCAGACATGCCGTATGGGATCTGTATCGGACCTCATGCAGGCCGTATGGGATGTGTATTAGATCCCATGCAGGCCGTATTGGATTAGTATCGGATCCCGTACATGCCGTCGGAGATTTGTATCGGATCCCATCCACGCCGCCGGCCCCATACAGGCCGTATGGGTTCTGT